TTGTGTATTTTAATTACGTGTATTGTGTTTGTATCCCCTTTTACACTTTTGAGTTGTTCGCCGCCTTGAATCCCTCCCGGAGAAGGGCGGCATACAAATAAACTAAATCTTAAATCTTAAACCAGACATCCGAGGCAGCCTAGACCTTCACAAGGAGGAGTGAAGAGAGAAAGACCCCGCTGATACCTTCTGAGCTGCCAGCTGCATCTGGGTCAGAGAGAACATTGCCAAAAGTGGGCCCTCCGGTCAACTGGTCGGATACAACCTCTGGAGGAGTAGGAAGCTGGAGTAGAGAAGAACTGGTGGAACTCTGGCTGGACAGAGTAGTCAAGAAACGATCTTCTGGGGACGAAATATACAGACATTGGAGCGTTCTTAGAAGGCCTTCAAAACAAGGTATGTGTGCTTTAAGTAACCACCAAAAAGGTTTTAGCATAGATTGAAAAAAAGATATACGGATACTAGGAGAAGCACTCTTTAGCATTTATACTCTATGAAAACCAGGTCAGGTGTTTGTTTTTTTTCTTATTTTTCAACTATTTCAACATAAATATTAATATTAGATTTTTCTTAAGCTGTAAGTTCTGTTATAGCCCAGCAACAGCCTGTGCTGCGCTCTAATTAGTCGGGTGAAGCACAGCCTGTGATTGGAGGTTCTAGTGACAGTTAAATGACAGTTGGTACCTGAGAGTATAAATACATCGCTTGTCATCTCGCAATAAACATCTTACTCTCTGATTCCATGGCTCCTGCGTCTATACCTCACACATATTTAACAAGTTCCATATGGAAAAGCTTCAAAAAAAATACAACGGCAACATCTTCTTAAATATGCAGCATACCTTTGTCACCATTCTGAAGAGCTGGAGAAACATTGCGAGGAGATGCATCCATTGAACTGATCTGTAGGAGAAAGAGTTACTTCTTTCATATTAAAGTGTTTTTTTCTTCGAAATCAACACCATTTTGCTAAAAAAAACAAACCACTCTTTCTCAATGTACACAAACATGAAAACATGTAGTCTCCTGAAAGCGAAATGGGCAAAAATTTTCTTCTTGGGTGTTTCTCTAGAACAAGTGAAGTGCCCCTCATTTTAAGAAATATAATTAGATATGCATCTTCATTCAATGAAAAAGTACAACAGTTGTCAGAGAAATCATCTAAGTCAGTGTTGCTCAACCTTGTCAACTTGAAGATGTCTGGACTTCAACTCCCAGAGTTCCCCAGCCAGCATTCGCTGGCTGGGGGATTCTTGGGGTT